AACTCATCCATGCCTCCACAAGTATAATATTTATCTATACTTAATCAATTGACATTCCAATTATATCCTGGCAATTAATCGATGCCTCTAATAGTATGTTCTTGTTCATACTTAGTTAATGAAAATTTATTTATATCTTTGGCAAATAATCCATGCCTCCTAAAATATGTTTTCTACATACAAAATTAATAACAATATATTTATATCTTGGCAAATAATCCATGCCTCCAAATCAACCATATCCTATAAGCATAAATTAAAAGCATAAATAAGCATACAATAAACAACATAGGTACAATACAAGCATACACAAAAAGATATAAAATAATCCTCTAAGCTTTCATTCCAAATACAGCATGTCAACATATGATAAATATTATAGAACAACTTAATGGTTAATTAAAACATGCTTCCAAACCAATAGCCATATAAACACACCAAATTTTACTTTAAATTAATTTATAAATTAATTTAATCATTCCTTTACCAATCCATTTAGCGTTCTAATTATTTACCACTAAGCATTACCTTCTTAGACATTCAATATTTGATGGATTAGGGGGATTGTGCGTTGTAAATGAAAATGTGTGCCATTAATTGAAATGTTAAACATGGATGGCCAAGTAAGCATACATTGTCTAGTCAATCTAGTGAATAGCATAACATATCAAATTAAGCCATTAATCCTTCTATAAGTCCACAATTAATGCACATTCATTAAATTTGAGAAATATACCACTTGCATTCATAAGCATGGAACATCAAACAACAAGAATGCAAAAGGAGGAGAGAAAGAAGAAATCCAAAGGGGAAAAAACTGGCTGGCAACCATGGGAGAGAGAGAGGAAAAATCTAATTTTTCTCTCTCCTACCCCCTATTTATAGAATCCCAAAAAAGTGCCCCGAACGAGCCCCGCGCGGCCCCGAAAAGTGAAAACTGTCCAGACGCGCTCAAACGGAAAAAGTCCGTGAATGAAAAAGTACCGTCATGAAAAAAAATGAGCAACGGAAGAAATGGAGTCGAAAACATAATCCCATGCAGAAAGATATGCCCCAAGCAAGTTCGGCACAACCGGGGTCAAAAATCCTAAAACTAGGAAAAACGACCGGAAGATAATTCTAAGAGTATGTGACTCGACGAAATGTAAAAATGAATCCCATACGAGGATCCAAGCCCAAAAGAGACACTTTGCAATTAACTTTCATTAATTACACAAATGCCTCTACATAAAAGGATAACAGCACAAGTGACCCAAATGAAAATATCTTTCAAAAGATATTTTCTTAAAAACCCCCAAAACAAAATATCTTCAAAAAATATTTATGAAAAATACCTTAAGAAACAAAAATGTTTCTGAAGACACTTCGCATGCACGCCCCTACGGGAAAAAGAAACAACCAGCAAGCTTTTCTACAAAAGTAAAGCTACGCATTTTGAGGAAACCAAATGGAATGAGAGCAAGTAAAGTCAAAAATCAAATCCAAACACGAAAAGTGAGGTTACGCGAAAGAAAATATCAACGAAAAAATAAAACCCGTAAAAATGGGAAAAAGGAAAGGAAGGAAAATGATCGGGTCATGAAAATCCTTGTCCAACAAGGCTCTATAAATAGAGATGGGTATGAAAGAGAGAAAATTGTAGAAAGAAAAAGAAAGTTGAGATTATGAGAGAGAAAATAGTGTGTAATCAAGTTTTTTAAGTAAAGTTTATTGTTCTTCCCCGATGGACTATGCAATTTGCCAAACCACGTAAATCTTGTTTTTTGCTTGTGTGTGAATTTTTTTTTATCTGTTATATTTGTCAATTGTGAGTGTGAAACGCTAACAACTGGTATCAATGCTATGGCGGCAACTATTATAGATGGAAAGTACATGGTCCAGAAGTTTGATGGAAGAAAGAACTTCAGTCTTTGGAAAGTTCGGATGTGGGATTTAATGATTTGCCATGGTCTAGAAGATGCTTTTTCGGTAACCAACCAGAAAAGACGGAAGATGCAGATTTAGCGAAGATCAACTTTAAGGCAATGAGTGCAATTCGATTAATATTGGCAGATGATATTGTGTATGATGTAATAAAAGAAAATTCAGCAACGGACATATTAAAGAAGTTGGAAAATCTATATGTGGGAAAGAATCTCATAAACAGGTTTGTTTTAAAGTAAGAGTTGTATTCTTTCAAGAGAAAAGAAGGGGTGAGCCTTCAAGAACATCTTGGTAAGTTCGACAAAATTATTTGTAATTTGTCTAACATTGATGTCAACTTGTGGAGAGGATAAAACAATTATTTTGTTAACGTCGGTATGCTCTACCCATAAGCATTTATTCAATACATTGCTTTATGGGAGAGATACCATCTCGATGGAACAATTTAAAAATGCTTTGTTCTTTAATGAAAAGTTGAATGATGAAGAAAGTAGGGATGCTCAGGCTCAAGTTCTTATTGTTCAAGAGAATAAGAGATTTGGAGCTTCAAGAAACCTTGTCAGAGAAAAGATGCTAAAAGTGTAGAAGAAAGGGGCATATTTAGTGGTATTATCCAGAAAGAAAGGAGAGTGCATTTGCTGCCGTTATTGTTCCTGAAGATATAAAAGAAGAGGGTGATAATGATGAGGCATTATCAATCATTGATAATAAGGGAGAAGCTATGGTATGGATACTTGATTCTGTTTGTTCCTTTTATATATGTCCTCATATAGAATGGTTTGCTACCTACAAACCTATAAGTGGTAAGGTATTTATGAGGAATAATGCCTCTTGTGATATTATAAGAATTAGAACAATTAAAATCAAGACAATGAATGGTTTGGTAAGAACTCTAACAAATGTACGTCATATTCCAAGTGGTAAAAGGAATGTGATCTCTGTGGGAGCATTGGATTTCAAAGGTTGCTGGTGTGAAGTGAAGAATGGATTGATGAAGATTAGGAGAGGGCCACGTGTCATGCTTTTGGGAAGGAAGGTCAACAATCTCTATATTCTGTTGGGAAATACTATGCTAGGTGGAACAATTACAAAGACGAAATGGAAGCTTGTTTCGAGATCTACTAGAATAAAGAATCAAGAACAACAAGAGAAGGAAGAAGTCTTGACGATTGCAATTGCACCAGCCTTTATCCCAAAAAGAAAGAAGAGTTCAATTTGGTGTTGCGAAAGTAGATTCCAAGTTTAATTATTTGAACTTAGAATTTGCTAAGAATAGATAAGTATGGTTGTGCGGCGAAGAACGACAAGAAGAAGAATGACAAATTTGAGAAAATATGGAGATTATTGAAGTATTTCTCAATTTCATCATAGTACCTTATTTGAGGTGGAGAAATCTTTAATTAAGGTGGAGTTTAAGCTACTAACATGTTTGAATTAGTTCAAAAACTTTGAGCTAGTTCAACTGGAGTGATGAGTTGGACTTTAACTACTACCTTAGTTGAACCAATTCAAGGGCACTTCAAAGTGAGTTACAACACTTTTGAGGCAACAAAGTTGAACTAGTTCAAGTGTTACTGAACCGGTTCAACTCCCTTGGGAAGCTACATGATTTTTTTTCCTTATTGGTTTTGGAAGCCAGAAGACTTAGGGAAAAAGCTATAGATTTGGGGAAGAAGTTGTATCTCTATTTTAGAGTTAAAGACTAATATGGTAACTCCTTGTATGCAAGTTCCAAAAAATAGATAAGTTTTCTCTAAGTGTTCTTTTACCAAACCTCAAGGGGTGTAATTGTACTTTACCCTTATTTATTTTATGGTGTGATATAGGCGCCCAAGCACCTTGGTTCCAAATTATATATTTACACCACATGCCCTATTTAGATCTTGAGATATTATTATTCGCATAATAATAGTGTCATTAAAATATGAAACAATTCTCCCTCCCATGTCACACTAACTCAAATACTCAATTCCATAATAAAATTCCAACTAATTTTCTCAACTCAAGTGGGTTAAAATCTTGAAATTAAGTATCTCACAGTATGAACAACAATCAATTGATAAAATTTTAAGCTATTATTACATTTACACGTCAAACTAAAAAGTGTCCCTTTTACAAGGTCAAAGGACATATATGTAGTTACACAATGCTAAAGCTCTGACGCTAAGTGCAGATAACGTTTGGGATTGCCAGTAAAAGAAGAATCAAACATTTATAATGTGAGTAATACTTTATTTTCAAAGAGTAGTTTTGACCAAACTTTTGAACATAGGAAAGAAAAATGTTTATTGTGTCAGTAAAAGATGAATCAAATATTCATAATGTGAGTAATACTTTATTTTCAAAGAGTAGTTTTGACCAAACTTTTGAACATAGGAAAGAAAAATGTCTATTTCAAGCAAAACTGCTTGCCTTATGGGATTTTTTGCCCATTTCCCTGTTGCTGCGTGTGATGTTTTTTTTTTTTTTTTTTAATCATTGCAAAGGCACAAAGGTCAAGCCATTAATGGCAGTAAAGAGACAAAAACCAAGTCAAATAAAGACATACAAATCTTGAAACAAAAGTACAAAATAAGAAAAAATAAAGAACATGCTCCAAATTTGCTGAAAATAAGAGCCAAAGCTCAAGAACAGAAACTACTAAGGGAGAAGAGTAATAACAGGAGTGACCCAAAAACATAACCATCATCAAGGCAACAGTTCCAAAGTTACATCCATAAGACACCGTCGACAGGGGGAAAACTACCCAACATGATCAAATCAAGTGGAAATAATCAGATTAAGTCGGGAACAACCAAAACTGACATAAATCAAAGATTTAGCTGGAGAGAAAATAATAGATCTACCCATACTAGTCAGAAACAAGCCAAATATGAGTAGATATAATAGAACAAAAGCAAAAAAGACGTAAAAAAATATTACTTATTGACACATGTTGAGTTTATTGAAGTTGTGGGAAGCAAACCAGCACCTCCCCACTCCCATGAAAAGGAGCAGGGAGAAAAACGAAGGGAAAGGAGGAGTCAGTTGCAGAGATAGAGGTAAAAGAGAGAAAGTTAGAGAGAGAGAAATGAAAAAAAGTGAAAATGAGGGATAAAGCAACATAAAATTTTGACTGGCTTTGATACATAGAAATGAAATAAAATGAAAATAAAATACAACTCATAATAGAATAGAATGAGAATAGTACATAAATATAACAGTCAGTCTTTTTGATTGCAATTATTAAAAAATGCAAGATATTCTTATATATTTGATGACTTGCCCGCAATGTCAATTACGAAACGATACTTGACATCATTTTTGGCCAGCCTTTCGAGTGCTTCGTTAATTTGATCAGATTGGACAATCTCAATGTCGCATGTAATGTTATGCTTGCCACACGCATCCATCATCTCTTGCGTTTCTTTCATGCTTCCTGTCATGCTACCCTTCACTACTCTCTTACCTGTTTAAAAATAAATAAAAAATCAAACTTTCCATGAGTCCTATACTCCTATATATTTTGTGCTTCAAATAAAAATAAATAAATAAAAATGGAATTTATGGGATTAAGAAAATAGTTATTCTTACCAAAAATCAAGGGGAAAGAAGGCAGGTCTATGGGCTTATCAGGAGCCCCCACGATCACCAATGTGCCATTCACTTTGAGCAATTCTAAGGTAGGCCCAAGTGAGTGCTTGGCTGACACTGTATCCAAAATAAAGTCTAGAGTCCTTTTTCGTGCCTGTCAAAAAGACGGCAATATATGGATTAGGTTTTTTAATATGAAAGGGCCCAATAAAAGGATCAGTTTTAACTATGGAGTTTGGACCAACATTCAATTATGTCTTTTATTAACGGTAATGCGGGAAAGTGAACTGTGAAAGTTTGAATTTTAAAAAACGAAACATGTCATATATATAATTTGTGAGGGGATCTGGCATAGTAACGGGTATGATAATGTAACTAAACCCATTTTAAAGTGGCAAATTATATCCAAACAATTAAAGTGTTGTTTATGTACATCTATTATACCATTTTACTCTTTGAGTTTCATTTATTTATTCTTTATCTTGAAAAAAAGTCATTGATTGTAAAATGACAAAAGGAGGAGTGATACCAAATATGGATAACTCATTCATATTATGGATTGGTTCATTAATCTAAAAGTGGTTCAAGGTCATTTTGGTCAATAAAGAAGGATATTAATAAAGAATGATATTATAGATATTCCAAGACCAAAGTATCAATTTTAGCAAGGAGTGACTGAATATTTTTAAAATAATACGAGTGTTTTGTGCAAAAATGAAAGTTTGGGGAGGTTTTCTACACAAGTTGAGTGTTTCTGTGTTGTTAGCAGCAGTTCATCCTTAAAATAGTGGAACTATAATATGAAATGGATGGAGTTTTGCTCCAATTGATCCAGTAATAAGTCCATTAGATGGGGTTTGATATGTAAATTTAAATTAAGTCTAAATCATGTCTTGCAGGATCTCAAATTTAGGTTAGTTTAATTACTAAACATGATAGTGCTCCATTTTATAAGTTATAATATCTTTGGATTTTCTATAAATTAAATAACTAGTCAAGAATTTAAATTATGTTTGTAAGACCCTATTTAAATGCAAATAAAGCCCCGAATCCGTCCGATTAATAATTATTATATATATAAATATTATTATATTAGCTATAATTGTTCCTTTTCTTTTATTTCTTATTATAAATTTAATTTGTAACAACATTTTTGTTATTATGATTGTTAAATGTTTGACTATACTACAAAAAGTTACAAAATTTATTCAAATTTGAATTTTTTATTTTTACTTTAAATATGCATATTGGAATGCCCCGAATCGGTTTTGCAAAAAAAAAAAAAAAAATAGATTAATTGGTAGGACAAGTTTGGAAGACGGTGCCCAGTCCGAATCCACCCCGTCCACATCCCTAGTCTAGGCTCTGATTCATAACCACCATTCCTTTACATGCGTTAGTAACACATCATTCAGATATAAGAGATTGATCAAATGATTCTATACCTAAGAAGCACCGAAATAGATAAGGGAAACGAATACGACATGACATGGATATAACGACACGATAAATTCTAAAGTATTTAAACACGGACATGGCAGGGAAATGAAAAATAAGAAATTAATATATTTTCTATATATATGATGTTGTCTTTAGGAAATTAAGAGTAGTAAAAAATTTTACAATATCATAATGAAAAGAAAAAAAAAATTTATTTTTTGCGGGAAAAAAGAAAAAATGGTAGAAGGATGGTTAAGAAAAAGAAAAATCAAAAAACAATGAGACAAAGAGGATCATTGTTTTGTTAGAAAAAAAATTAGGCCTTAGTTAAAAAAATAGGTAAGGATCCATAGGAAAGAAAAAAATTAATGGGAAATAAAGGAAAAAGCCACAAAAAGAAATTTATTGTGAAAAAAAAAAAAAAAAAGTATTTAGCGTTTTGAAGAACAAGAGTAGAATAAAGAAAAGAGGACGGAGAATAAGTGAGAAAGAAGAGAAAGAGAAGAGAGAATGACCATTTATCGATAGGGAAGCTTAGTTGGTGGGACAATAAAAGAGTCAAAGATGATCATGCAAGAGTTCAAACATTAAAAATTAATGGGAAATAAAGGAAAAAGCCACAAAAAAAAATTTATTGTGAAAAAAAAGAAAGAAAAGTATTTAGCGTTTTGAAGAACAAGAGTAGAATAAAGAAAAGAGGACAGAGAATAAGTGAGAAAGAGGAGAAAGAGAAGAGAGAATGACCATTTATCGATAGGGAAGCTTAGTTGGTGGGACAATAAAAGAGTCAAAGATGATCATGCAAGAGTTCAAACATTTGAACTAAAATATAAGAATAAATATCCTATTGTTTGAATATTGTTAGAAATAAGAGAGAGAGAAAATTGTATATACATTGATGTTGATTGATGACAGCATAAGAGTCTTATATATGTAAGAAAATGTTTGGAGTAAGTGAGTGATGAACAAGTAACCTATATATGGTAAATGTAATCATATATGATAATTTGTAGTATGCAAGAAATCTAAGTAGTAAAGGAGTAAACTAATAAACTGTTTATCAGTGATCGAAAAACTCAGATACCATGTTAGAAATAAGTGAGATAAAAATTGTATATATATTGATGTTGATTGATAATTACATAAAGATCCTATATATAGGAAAAAGTTTGGGGTGGGTGAGTGATGAACACGTAACCTATATATGATAGTTGTAATCATATATGATAATTTGTTGTATGCAAAAAACCTAAGTAGTAAATGAGTAAACTTATAATCTAACAAATATAAAATAGTTTTATTAAACAACAAGCTTTCAAGTAATTATATAAATACCATCACAATCCTGAAAGTTAGTATTAAACAGGTCATAATAATTATACTTTATCTCAACATTGTTTCTAAAATTTTCTTTACAATTCCTAAGAATGGGACACATCGGTCCGTCGGACACATCTAGGGGCAGATACAAGGGTAGGCAAAGGTTAGCTGCAGCCCACCCCAAAATTTTTTTTTTTTTTTACTATACTAATATATTAGCCCAGCCAAAAAAAAAAAAAAAAATAGTATTAACCCTACCTAAAAACTCAATGAAGCCCAAGTAAACTCAGCCACCATACTAAAATAAAGGCTCAAACCAATTCCTTAGTATTCATATTTAATGTTAGCCCACCCCACCTAGAAATCCTGGATCCCCTTGGACACATTGTCCACAATACGTTTGGATATTCTAAAAAATATAAAATATTTGGACACATTCTTTAACGTATCTAACAAGTGTCGATGTTCAACATGAATTAATCTTTTAATGTGTCAGTGCTTCCTAATTCTATATCAATAGTATTTATGTTGCACTAAATCTTCTTAGCAGACAATGGAATTCTAAGTTTAGTATCAGTAAATCAAGATACCATTGTTTTTGTAGGTATTATCTTAACCAAAAAAAAAAAAACCAACAGTAATTTTTTTATTTTTTATTTTTTATTTTAATAAGTATAAGATAAATATATATTTAAAAAAAAGTAAAATATTGAAAACTGCGTACATTATTGAGTACATCAATGGGTCCACTTAGATGCCAGTAATAAAATACAGCATGCATTATTGAGTGCATCAATGGGTCCGCTTAGATGCCAGTAAGGTAGAAGTCTAAAAGATTTTAAGTCTCACCGATAAAGTAGGTATGTGTCACGATTGTCGATATCATATAATAATTTAGAGTCTCACCCATAAATTTTGATCCATTAATGGAACGACCCCACTCAGAGGTTGGTCCAATAATAGAATAGGAAAAAATTATTATATGGCCCAAATCATTGTTCATGATACATGTTAGCAAATGCGTCATGTCTTAGACTCGAAATTATGTAATTTCTTATGCTATAAGAGAGGTCTTAGACAACATAATTTGAATGAAGAAGTGAATAGATATATATGAAATGAATGTTAATTTTACTCAATAGTTTAAATTTTTGAATTGGGTCCGATTACAAAATATTGATAAAAAAATTATCAGGGTGGTCGTTTACTCATTTATTTAAAAGTTCAAACGTCCATTTATACACACTTCAATCTTCATCCAAATCCGATATGGGACAACGAATCTACATAACGTCCTCATTGCGATCGGACCACCCTGCCTATCTGGAAACAGACCCGGATGCCCTTTGGGTCTGGCGTTTGGCATGACACCAGATTAAAAACTGACTTTGATATGAACTGTAATGGGTGGGCGCTTACCCATTTACCTAAAAACTCAAGACATTGGATAGTACTGTATACCTATCCATTTATACACACTTTAACCCTAATCTAAATCCGATGCGAGACAAATTCCACTTGTAACCCTATCCCATTTGACACTTGTAAACTAATCTAATAGGGAGTACAAGTTATTGTTAAGATTTCTTTGACTCTTGTGGATTAACACCTTGTTACTTTATCTCATATAGATGGTTGAGTACCTTGTAGGAGTTAATTGCGGGTAAATAAAAAAAATTGAAAATCCTTGTGCAAGTGCCATGTTTAATTTGAGTAATATTAGTAGAAGATATATGGGTGATAGGATAACGAAACCTCCATATGTTGTTGGTTGGTACTGACTATAAAATCATCTGCATGCAAATGCTCTTTGGCCTCCTTTTCTTTAGATGGAGAGGTACTGATGACAGTGACATGGTTCCCAAAAGCCTTCCCCATTTTGACAGCCACATGACCCAAACCACCTAGCCCAACTACCCCTATTTTCTTCCCGCCATCCATCAACAAGTTGTCTTTCATGGGGCAGAACACTGTTACTCCAGCACATAGCAGCGGCGCCGCCGCATCCAACGGCAGGTTTTCCGGTACATGCACCACATATCTGTAAGACAATTACATGATGGATCATGAATCAGTCATTCTTAAGGGCACCATGACCACCTTTTCATTAATTTGTATTTTATTTTCTATATAGCTAAGTACCATTTAGCACTGAGTAAAAAATAAAAAAACTAACTAAACCTTATTTTATTTCTGATCTTTGCACTAGAAAGTTTACATAATTCTCTAATTTCATTCCATTTGTGTTCACTATTAAAAATAATAATAATAAAAAAATACAGTAATATATATTCTCTCATCTCAAATAAATATTCATTTTTTTATTTTTAGTTGTTCCAAAATAGTGTATATAAATAAATTTGAAAGGATTGAATTGGTCTTTCAAGGTTGTGGATTTCTTGTTTATTTTTCCGTAACTAAATCGGGAGACTAAAATTTTAATCGCACAAAATCTAATTGGATCGAATAGCTTTTATAAATTGACTGATCAAATAAACTCGCAACATGCCTCGTTACTTAGGAAGCGCAGATATGAATACGAGATACGACACAATATAAGTACGGCATCAAATCTCAAAGAAACAGGTTATGGGTATACCAAGATACAACAAAAAAAAATTATCAAATTATATATATATATATATATATATATATATATATATATTAATTTTTGGTTAATATTAGAAATTATTGATAAGTTTTATTAACTTAAAACAAGAATCCCTAATTATCACTTAATAAAATTTGAACCTTATTAAAAATATATTATAAAGTGTTTGATAAGTGTCAGTGTCATATACATATGGGTAAAATATGTATATTTTATATTATATTATTTTATATTATATGTATTTGACAGGAATACTCTTTCTAATTTGCTACAGTAAATCGATCATTATATACGTATTTGATACGAATATTCGTAGCTCTGCCAAAAAATATTCGTAGTTTCTAGCTTGCTACAGCAAATCGATCATTATCTACCACTGAATCCATTAAGACCCATCCAGGACACCTAGATTCTCGTGCTTGACATGAGACCGACTTTTTATTTTTAAAATTTTTGAACCAAACCAATTGTACCCTACCCAGTTTCTTTATTTTTAAATTTTTTTGAACCAAACCAATTGTACCCACGTAGTTTCTTTATGGATTAAACAAATTAAAGTCGTTCTATTAAAATATTTTATTAAAAGAGAGGAGGAGCTTGGTAGAGACCATTAGTATTTATATTACTATTTAAATATAAAGAAAATAATTTTAAGGTTGGAATGAATTGTGTCGAAAAGTTTTGATTGGTAGTGCAAATATGACCAAATAAAAATACGAGTACCTGTGATCTGCAACGAGCATTTTGGAATAGCCACCGTAGGTGATAGTACCATCCCAGAAAATGCCATTGTAAGTGAACTGAACCTCGTCGCAGTAGTTCTCTTGAGAATCTTTGCAGAACTCACACTCCAAGCACGAAGCCGCCAAGCATCCAACTCCTACCTTCTCTCCTACCTTGAAATTCCTCACATTGCTTCCCACTTTTGTTATCACTCCAGTTATTTCATGACTAACATAATTTACAAACACATATTAAATGTAAAATTAGTTATTATATATATATATATATGATTTTGCTCTATATATACTTGGAATAAGTAGTAAAGATTGAGAAATTAAGGTATACGTACCCGGGGACGACAGGGTACATGGTGATACCCCAATCATTCTTGACATGATGAAGATCGGTGTGGCATATTCCACAATACAATATCTCGATGGTCACATCATTCATACCGTTTTCTCTGTTCGTTATACATAACTTTAGATTACCAAATTATATTTATATCTAATTTTAGAAAGAAAAAAAAAAAAAAAAAAAAAAAAATTTGTCTAAACTATTGTTATTGGTGTAAAAAACCTGATACGTACCTTCGTTTGAAGACGTAAGGAGTAATCTTGCCGGAGGAATCATGGGCTGCCCATCCAAAAACGGTCTGTGTGTGGTTTGGGGTTGTTTGAGCCATGTGTGTGTCAGTGTGATCGAGAGTGAGTGGGCGTTGGGAACATTTGATGAAGATGGTCCCTTGTTTATTGGGGCATATATATATTATATATCTGTATGTGATAGTGGGTCCAACCCATGATTATATTTCTGCGCATTAATGCAAAATAATAATACAAAATAATAATAATAATTTGAGAAAGGTATTTCGAATTTGATATGGTAATGATTAAAAGGCCAAAATATTATATTTTCAAATACATAGTAATTTATTATTATAATTTGATTGTGTTTTTATATTGGGAGACAATATTTTTACTTTATTTTTTTTACTTTTGCACTCCAATGTATAATGAAATGGTTCTTTTAATCTTAATTTTATAAGTGAATAATTATTTATTTTTAAATTACATAACTATTCTTCTATATTACGTATGATCCGTCTCTTTTTTCTATCTTTTTTACAACCCCATTAACCCAATTTGTCACCTTTTTTGATCTTTTTGACAACCCCATTTATCCAAAAGCTCATTTACCCAAAAATTTAACCTATTGGATAGTGTTATGTACTCACTCATTTATATTCATGTCACTTCCTATTTGAATTTGCTGTGAGACAAGTTTTTTCTTGTAACATATAGTTAGTAGAGAAAAATCCAAAGCTCATCCAACTTTCTCCATAAAGGCTACATATCCCAATCAATATCTCTTTTGAACTCACCCAATTATATTCATGTCACTTCCTATCTGGATTCGCTGTGAGACAAGTCTCCCCTTGTAATATATAGTGTAATACTACCTTAGATTTATATTATATATATATTTATTTATTTTTGAATTCATGTTTTGTTATTTATTTTTTATTCTACATATTATCTATGTGGAATTATGAGAGATAGGACATTTACCGTATCTTTTAAGAGAGATACAAAGCTATAGTTTAGTTTGAATTTTAAAGAGTTCTTATTGAACTCAGCCACTAGTTATATATCTGGACTTAGTGTATCAGCATTTCATTACCTACGTTGACATACCTACAATACTATTTTGTGAAGTCTACACGATCATTCAAAGAAACAAAGAAATTTAAGTAGATTGATTTTCATGCAAGTTAATTCTTGCTTGTAACCTGTATTTAATTATATCTTAATTGTTAGATTATTATGTATGATTTAACTATAGAACTCAAGTTAATTATTTTAATTAGAGATATGGAGATTACACTGGAGTTACTGATTGATTAGAATTTTAATTTATATTTATTTCATTATTTTTAGTAATCAAAATTGATTATCTAATTATGATGTTAGTTGGAGGTTGGGATATGTTGTGTTTAGTTTATAAATAGTCTTCTGGCTTGCTGTATAAATAGCCTCAGGAATTCAGGAATTGTTCGATTTTATTTCATTTTGGTTATGGAAAGTGGTTCCGTTTATATGTGGATTCAAGATTTGGGGCTAGCTTTTATTGAATCAGCCCCGTGAGCAAGGGAAAAGTCTTAATCCCAGGGAATTGATTTTTGGGCATTAGTATTTTGTCTTTTAGTGTTAGTTTAGTAAAGAGAAGATAAAAGAAAAAGAAAAAGAAAAAGAAAAAGAAAATGGGTATGATGGTGGCAGGCCACTAGGAGTTTTTGCCAAAATTCTTCCACGTGAAATGATGTTGTTGATTGTTAGATAAATTGGAAAGAATGAAATATGTAATGATGGTGGCGGACCCACTAGATGACCATTTGATCAAATTCTTTGGTGTAGGTCACAAGGAGTGCTTATATGAATTCCGTCTTTTGTGTTTGTTTCGGTTGACAGGAGGTGGATTTGCGGTCACTTGTATACAGAGTATTATTTATATATTGTATGTTTGGTCAATTGGTGTAATATTTCTAATTTTAAAAGAGTAGTCTCGATATTTTTTTTATTTTTTTTATTTGTATTTTATTTATTTAATTGATTATTTGATGATTTTTTATTATTTTATTTATTTATTTATTTTTTGATGATTTGATTATATATTTATTTGTTTAATTATTTAATTTAATTATTTATTTGCGTTTACATTGTATGTTTATGTGAAAATTGAAATAATTGTTTGTTTTGCATAAATGAATAAATTGGTTAATTAAATTATGTGATTAAATGTTTATTTTATTTTAAGGAGTTGGGCTTGGATAGTATGGATTACTTGGATAGGCGGTTAAATAGGTACAGTTAATCCCCATGAATGGTTATACATATATATATGGGTATATATGTATATAGGGTTAGTCTAATTATTAATTATTATTAATGATTAAATTAGTATCATTATTTATTATATATGTGTTATACAGTTTTAAGTTTTATATATATTTATGAGGTCACGATGTGGGATAGTCGACATATATATATGTTATGTTTTATTTTATTTTATTTTATTTTATTTTTCTTTTCTGTCTCCTCATACAATTACAATTAGGTTAAATTTATTTTGTCTATAAATATAGCATTATAAGTCTGCCGAGGGATAAAATACAAACCCTATTCACATACAGAGAGGTTTGAGAGAATTGAGAGAACAAATTAGGGTTTCGGTCGTGGGTTGGAGGTCGGACCAAGGAGGAAGGAAGAAGATTGCTTGTGGGTTGAACCAGGAGCAGTAGAGAAGTTGAGAACAGTCAAGGAATTGCCGGAAGTCTAGGAAGACAACGTTGAGATTTTAATCGAAAATCTCAAAGGCAAGTTCTATCTTTAACTCGCCCTTTGACTTGTGTTCTGTGCATGCTTAGATAATCTCCAGGATTTAACTGAACATTAAAACTGATCTTGTATGCATATTAATTCTGAATTTTAACTGTATTATGTGTTGTAAATTGAAATTGATTTAGGGTATCAAATTGTTTCATCTTTTGTATTGTAATTACTGTTAATGATGCATACTAAGTTTTATGAGTTTTTGAAATAAATTTGGGACATAGATTGAACCTTTAGGAACCTTAATAAAGAGTTACAGAGGTGTTTTAGCATCGCCGAAGGCGAAGAAGATGATGGGATACAGGTTACGGCTCTATGGGATAGAGAGAGCCGGCTCTTCAAAGGAGAGAGTCGGCTCCAAGAGAGGGAAAACCGGCTCCACAAGGTGTAGAGTCGGCTCCCCATGGGGGAGAGTCGGCTCCACAAGAGGGAGAGTCAGCTCCCTCTTTAGGGGAGGCGACTCCTTTGCTGAAATACACCAGTAGGTGTATTTGATTTTTTTTGGAAACTTCAAGGGTTAAAATGGAATTTTGGACTTTTATATGAGGTTTTTAAATGATTTAAATCAACATGTTAAAATCCCAGAATGGTTAGTTTATGCTAATATGTTAACATATTGGACATCATGAAATTTAAATATTTATATTTTTATGCTTTCTATGAATGTGGAAGATTTAATTGCTTGTGGTTGATCTAACAAGTTAAATGGTTTAGTATGATTACACTCTTGTATAATTTAATATAATTGTGACGACCCTGGTTTTTAGGTTAGCGTGTTCTGTGATGAACCGAAGATTGACCCGATAACGGATCCGATATGCGGAAGCGAAAACAGAAAACAAGACTCTAAGAAGTTAAAATGACCGTTCATGAGGTTGTGGAACTCAATGAGAACTGACGCGGAAGCAAAAGACCAAAAATATGACAAATAAGCCCCTAGGGGCAAAATAGTTATTTCTAAAAATTATGGACTTGGGTGCCACCAAACACACCGCTGGAAGGACAACGAAAAACTAATCAAGATGGACTCAATAATCACTTGATTCGGAGTCCGGATGAAGAAAATATGAAACTCCAAAGTTTCATAAAATCAAACTTTTGGGTTTGAAATCAATAAGGCAAGGGTACTTTACATGGGTTGAAATGGTCCTTTCAGATCAAACTAGATGAAACTGAGCATACCGTTAGATAAACCAGGAAAAATTAATGAATCTACACTTAAGAATCACTTGATTCAGAGTCCGAATGAAGAAGATATGAAATGTCAAAGTTTCATAAAAACCAACTTTTGGGTTTAAAATCAGTGCGGCAAGGGTACTTTACAAGGAGTAAAATGGTCTATTCAGATATAATTTGATGCAACCGTGCATACCATTATATAGACCAGCAAAAACTAATAAACTTAGACTCAAAAATCACTTGATTTGGAGTCCGGATGATGAAGATATGAAGCCTCAAAGTTTCAAAAAATTAGACTTTCTGGGTTTCAAGTATGAGCAGGGCCTGCACACATTTTCCGAATTCAAATGGGATCCCCCCCCCCCCCCCCCCCCCAAAAATCATGTTTTCTACATGGCCATGTCAAAAGAAGTTTTTATTTTTCAAGTGAAATACCCGAAATGCCCCCTTAGATCAGAACTTTTTCATGAAAAACCTAAAATGACCAGATTTTCCAGATCTGCGAGTTGTTTTCGGCATCAAGATGATTTTTTTTGTAAAAACACGAAGAAGAAACCCCCCTAAAATCACGTTTTCTACCCAAAAAGGCGGACAAAAATGAAAAAAAAAAAACTATGAAGTACCCAGAATGCCCCTAGATTAGGAAAGGGCAAGAAGTTGAAAAAAAGCTGCTATAGCATAGCAGAAAAACCGAACTTTGCACGGGATTTTCAGTACCAAGACGATATTTTCTGGAAAAACACGAAGAAGAAACCCCCCCTAAAATCATGTTTTCTAAGTGTTTATGTCAAGAACGGAATATATTTCCCAAAGGAAAACCTCAAAGTGCCCTAAAATCAGATTATGCAACAAAACTTCAAAATGAGTCCATAGGAAGCTCAAAACACAAACGATAAGGTTTTGCCCGGAAGCGACCATGCTACAATGGTCCACGACTTAAAAAATACCACCGATACAAAATTCGACCCCCCAACGGGCAAAAAGGCAAAAATGGAACTTGGAATGAAAACTCGGAATCCAAAAATACAAAACGGGGTCAAATGACCGTTTGGCCCTTGGCAACACTTCAAACATGATTTATAAGACCCTATGAAAGAATGAAAACGAAATTCCCACACCCGATGCAACCATGGAGAGACAATGACTTGGCGTTTTTTAATA